AAGAAAGAAAGAAAACAGCATTCATCTACTGCACATCTCCATCAGAGCTCTTGGGTGATCAGATGTGTTGTCAGTGAGCAATAGTATTTTATTTTTTTTTTGAGATGGAGCCTCAAGCTATCCCCCTGGGTAGAGTGCCATGGCATCACGCTCACAGCAACCTCCAACTCCTGGGCTCAAGCGAGTCTCCTGCCTCAGCCTCCCAAGTAGCTGGGACTACAGGTGCCTGGCACAACGCCTGGCCATTTTTTGGTTGCAGCCATCATTGTTATTTGGCGGGCCAGGGCTGGGGATTCGAATCCACCACCTTAGGTGTATGTGGCTGGCGCCTTAGCCCCTTGAGCCACAGGCGCCAAGCTGAGCAATAGTATTTTGAAAGAAACCTATTTCTTCTGAGTAGTAGACCTCAACAGTGAGCTTCAAATATTCAGTAAACCAGCTGTAAACAGATGTGCTGTCATCTAGGCTTTGTTGATCCATTGATAGAGCACAAGGTAGACCTAGAATTTTCAAAATGGTAAATGAACATTGGGTTCGACTTTAAAGTCACCCTCTGCATTACCCACTAACAAGAAAGTCAACTTGTCCTTTGAAGATTTGAAGCCAGGCATTGACTACTACTCTCTAGCTATGAAAGTCAGATAGTATCTTCCAATAGAAATCTCTTTCTTTGCTTTGAAAATCTGTTTAGTGTAGTCATCTTTATCAATTTTCTTAGCTAGTTCTTCTGAATAACTTGGTACAGCCTCTACCTCAGCACCTGGTGCTTCACCTTGCACTTCTATGTTATGAAGATAGCGTTTTCCTTAAACCTGATGAATCAACCTTTTCTAGCTTTCAAACTTTCTTTTGTAGCTTCCTCACCTCCCTCTCTTAGCCTTCATAAAATTAAGGAGAATTAGGACCTTACTCTGGATCAGGTTTGGACTTAAAGGAGTGTTGTGACTCATTTGATCTTCTGTCCAGACCACTAGTTTCCTCCATATCAGCAGTAAGGCTGTTTTGCTTTCTTATCTTTTTTGTGTTCACTGGAGCAGCACTTTTAATTTCCTTCAAGAAGTTTTCCTTTGCATCCACAATTTGGCTAACTACTTGGTGCAAGAGGCCTAGCTTTTGGCTTATCTTAGCTTTCAACATGCCTTCCTTTATAAGCTTAATCATTCCTGGCTTTCAATTTAAAGTGAGAATGTGACATTCCTCTTTTCACTTTGAACACTTAGAGGCCATTGCAGGGTTATTAATTGGCTTAACTTCAATATTGTTGTTTCTGAAGGATAGGGAGGGCTGAGGAGAGGGAGTGAGATGGAAGAACAGCAGGTTGGTGGGACAGTTAGAACACACTACTTTTTTTTTCCTTTTTTTTTTAGAGGCAGTCTCACTTTGTCGCCCTAGGTAGAGTGCTGTGGTGTCACAGCTCACAACAATCTCCTCTTGGGCTTAGGCAATTCTCTTGCCTCAGCCTCCTGAGTAGCTGGGACTACAGGCGCCTGCCACAAAGGCCAGCTATTTTTTTGTTGCAGTTTGGCCGGGGCCAGGTTCAAACCTGCCACCCTCAGTATATGGGGCTAACGCCCTACTCACTGAACCACAGGTGCTGCCCAGAACATACTACTTTATCGGTTAAATTTGCCATGTTATATGGGCATGGTCATAACCCTCCGTCCCCCAGAATTACAGTAGTAACATCAGAGATTACTAATCACAGATCACCATAATAGATACAATAATAATGAAAAAGTTTGAAATACAAAATGGCACAAATAAACTTGATACAGGATTGCCACAAATCTTCAATTCATAAAAATCACAATCATCTTTGAAGCACAGTAAAGCAAAGTGCAATAAAGTGAGGTATCCATGTACTAAAGATATATTTTGTACTAATGATTATAATGAGAATTCCAAAAGAAAAAAATTTAAGTCTTAGGGCTTTATTGTCTCAGGAAACTTTCAAAAATCTAAGTTTAGGTTGGCCAGGCATGGCTCATGCCTGTAAACTTAACACTTTGGGAAGCTGAGGTGGATGGATTGCCTGAATTCAGAAGTTTGAGACCAGTCTGAGCAAGAGTGAAACTCTATCTCTACTAAAAATAGAAAAACTAGCTGGGAGCAGTGGTGAGCACCTGTAATCCCAACTACTCAGGAGGCCAAAGCAAGAGGAGCACTTAAGCCCAAGAGGTTGAGGTTTCTGTGAACTATGATGCCACAGCAGTCAACCCCAGGGTGAGTGAGTGAGATTATGTCTCAAAAAAAAAAAATTTCAGGAAGCAGAAGTGTTGGCCAGAAGGAGTGTCTGCCCAAGTCTGCGGCATGAGCCCTGCATGCTTGCCATGAAAGGTCTGGTGAGCCACTGTTGTATGCTAAGTCCCAGGCGGCCAATTAACTTACAGATTTTCAGTGGAAAGGTATAGCTGTCAGATCAGACAGTTGGAGATCTCTTAGGTATTTTTATGTTGCAATAATGCTAAAAGTGGCAGATCATTAAGACTAAGTAAATAACAAATCCTTTGAAATGACAATCCTTCAGTTTCAGAATTTTTACAGACAATTCAAGGAAATCACTATAGTTATTGAAACTGTGAAAACTGATTATTAAATTGCTGTCATCGTTCTAAAATCATGAACTTTACTTTTTTTTTTTTTTAAGAGACAGTCTCATTTTATCACCCTCGGTAGAGTACTGTGACGTCACAGTTCACAGCAACCTCTCACTCCTGGGCTTAGGTGATTCTCTTGCCTCAGCCTCCTGAGTAGCTGGGACTACAGGCACCCCCCACAACACCCAGCTATTTTTTTTGTTTCAGTTTGGCTAGGGCTGGGTTTGAACCTACCACCCTTGGTATATGGGGCCAGCACCCTACTCACTGAGCCACAGGTGCCACCCCACTTTTTGTTTTTTTTGTAGAGACAGAGTCTCACTTTATCACCCTTGGTAGAGTGCCGTGGCATCACACTGCTCACAGCAACCTCCAACTTCTGGGCTTACGTGATTCTCTTGCCTCAGCCTCCTGAGTAGCTGGGACTACAGGCACCTGCCACAACGCCTGGCTATTTTTTGTTGCAGTTTGGCTGGGGCTGGGTTTGAACCCGCCACCCTCGGTATATGAGGCCAGCGCCCTACCACTGAGCCAGAGGCGCTGCTTGAACTTCACTTTTTGCAATAAAACTTCAGAGGAGGCCAAGCATGGTGGCCTGTAATCCTAGCACTCTGGAAGGCCAAGGCATGTGGATTGCCCTGAGCTCACAGGGTCAAGACCAGCCTGAGCAAGAGTGATACCCCATCTCTAAAAATAGCCAGGTGTTGTGGTATAGTTCCAGCTACTTGAGCCGCTGAGGCAAGAGAATTGCTTGAGCCCAAGAGTTGGAGATTGCTGTAAGCCATGATGCCATAGCACTCTACTGAGGGTGACAAAGTGAGATTTT